TGCTTGATAATCTCCACAATTTCGTTACTGCTCATCAACACCTCGGGCAAGATCCGGTAAAAGCCAAGACTCGCCTCAAGGGGGAATCGAGCATGACCCACTGCTTCATCGTAGCCAACACGGCATTGACAAGGGCTATGGACTCGTGGCGTGCCCGGGCCAGCGTTCCCACTATCTCATACACAGATCTCCCAACGTTGACATTCGGTAACTCAAGCACTTCGGACATGCGTTCCAAAACCCTTGCGTCGACCGCGGCCTGCGCCCCTCTGGTTGACCTAGCAATCAACTTCAGCGCCTTTGCGGCACCTTCCGAAACTGGGGGATCTGTATGCCTGTTGCTGGTCAATGTCCTGGTTCATGGCTGATACCTTGAACGTACCGCAAGAGGGATACAAGCCGGTGGCACGGGCTTGTATCCAAGACAGCCCTCGTCGTCGAGGTTTCGAACACCAAGTGCTCCAATATCCCGCAGCTCGATCTTAGGATTTGCGCATCGGGACGTTGGAGTAACTCAATCATACAGTCCAAGATCCCGGCTTCCACAGCGGACGGCGCACCATCCGCCGAGTGCGTAATCCAATACAGTGTGTGCATCGTAGCTTCGACGAATTTAGGATTTTCGTCACTAAGTTCAAATCAATGAGACACCATCCGCGTGAAATATTCGAGACTGATCGTAAGCACGATATTAGCCGAGGACAAGGGTTAACGCTCAAGACCTTCGTGCACTGCCGTTTTGCCAGGTTCCCCAGCAGCGAACATGCAGATCGCCGGACCTCTATGTCCTCTGACCGCAGGAGTTCGTCGACGAGGTTCAAAATGGGTGAGGGGCTTTGTGGCGGCGTGGAGGGGGATGGTGGGGCTCGCTACTGCGCTACTGGCCGACCACCAGCTGTGGTGTACGGGGGCGGATGATGGAGGGCATGGATGGCTGACAGCCTCGCTTGTGCGGCACACAAACGGAGGCTTTCACTGCCCTATGAGCGCTGAGTGTCAGCCAGGATTCGCCGATCCTCGGGACCTGGCAGCTGACACAAGGTGCGAAATTCGAGAGGCGACTCGGGAAGTGTCTTACAGGAGCGTATCAGGGTTCTTCGTGCCCTGGCACTCCGCTCGAATGCAAACCGTACAGCCGGAGCAGCACAGCCCGGAATCAAGTGGTGATACTTCCGGGGTCGTACGTCTCTCGGCGCCAAAGTCGCGGTGATTGCCTAGATTGTTAATAAAGTTCGGACATCATAATTTTAGAAAAAGAGACGTGCCACAGAGAGCCTTCGTTCCATCTGTCGAGGCGGATTGTCGGAGCGGACAGCCTTGAGCGATGGAATCGAAATGCGCAGTAAAATAACCAAATGAAGAGAATCGAGTTGCAAGAAAAACAGTTTTTTAAAAGGGTTCATAACCATTGCGCGCTTATTGAGAGAGGCGAATATTGAAAACGAGGTGGGCGCTGACTGATCGTTCGATATTATCTGAATGGAAAGTTCAATGCCCCGTCAATTATGAGTATGACTGTGGAAAGGTAGGTTTTTTTCCCTCTCCCAAATTTCAAAAAAAAATCTTGATATATGGTCTGACTTGGGAGACTAGTGGAAAGGTGGATCGACTTACTACTGGATCAGCCATCCTCCCGACTCATCACAATTGTAGTCCTCGATGATTGGTTTCCCTTTCTCGTGGACCACTGACAATCCTTCCCGGATAGCAGTGATTAAAGTAGTGTGCTCTTCGCCGAGATGACGCCATGCCGACAGCGCAGACGCGGCAACGCGCGTCGAAAGCGCCGCCGAGTGCATGGATCCCGATTTTCTTCGCAAGGAGCCAAGATCCTCGAGTTGCATTTCGACGATCTTCATTGCAACGTAGAGATGGAGCTCCTCTCGATGGAACGCAGCGCAGCACTGGAGCCATCTCCTGAGCTATTGAATTCCGAAACTGGAGTAGCGTCACCGAAATTTAGTTTAACGAGAAACATAAGAGAGAAATGCTAGTGGGCATGAATTCAGCTGCGGACGCGCCATAATAATTGTTCCGCCGCCTACTGGTTAACCGTGACGCTTCTCCGCGACCATATTCGCCAGGGCTCGCAAGAGCGGCGAAAGGCTAGGACCAGAGTTGGAGTTCCGAGATTGAGCTGAAGCATAGCTGGATCCCAAGGGGCTCGCAGGCGCGACGATAACGGCTAGCAGGAGCCCAGAGATCAAGTTTACGGGCAGACTTGGGCCAGACTCGAGGAATCGAGATAAGATAAACTCGCCGATTGAGTGGGATCTTTTCCGAGAGGGGATTGATGACGCAAAGGAGCCAATGTATGTCGTCTTCCAGGGCTGGGGTGCGCACCGTGAAAATTTTCAGAGCTTCTCCCCAAGTTGGACCCCAACTGCATTCAGGGAATCATGGGAGGTTGTCGCCGAGATTGGAGCTCTGGGACTGATGGATCAAGTCGAAAAAGACATTTCCAAGGCTGGTCGGTGTGCAGCTCGCCGATGCGACGAGAATGGATTTGGTGGGCGAGAGCAAGAGGACTCAACAAGGTACAACAGTGCTACCCACATCAGTCACGTCACAACCGTCCCAAGAACCGTCCTCCTCCTTTCCTCGACGTCCTTTTGTGCTGCTCGGAGGCTCTCTCATAGAAAATCGTTCTAATCCCTCCAACTCAACTACAACCTTAGATATGTCCCCTAGACGTGGATGTTTCAATTGCGGCGGTTGTGCGTTGTCATCATTGCCTTCCTCCCAACTTTCCCCCCTCCCCCTTTTCGCCTGTTGCAATGTTTATTTGAGAAAAGCACAGGATTATGTATTCTCCTTTGGTCTTGCTGACGAAGCTCGTTCCCCATTTATGTTACCATCCTAAGACACTGCGGACGTCAGGCGGTCTCGACGGCCACGTCTCACGCGAGTGCACTGGAGAAACGAAGCCTAAAGCCTGCTATAAGTGCGGGCCGGAGGGGCATATGGTGCATCCTTCCTGCTTCCCATCCATTCCCCCTCTCTTCTTCGCCAGCCCCCCCTCAACCTCGTGCGTAATGTACTCGGAGGGCGCGCGTTGCGGCGATGGGCGCTAAAACAGGCGCTGGCATCTTTGAAGCCGCCGGACGCAGGCCCGCCCTCCGGCTTCTTTACGCTGTGTTGTGTCTCCCATGTTCTCGCTCTTCTCGGCCTGTCCCCAACCCCTCTCGCTTCCATCCCTCTGATTGCTGGTTTCCTTCTTTCCTCAGTCCCGCGACTGCCCCGGCAGCGCCGTAACAGTCGCCTCGTCCTCTGGCGGAACCCGAAGCGCTGGCAAGGAGTGCTACACGTGCGGCAAAGTCGGCCACATGGCGCGCGCCTGTCCCGAAGCTGAGTGAGCAGTCTTTCCCTACAGTTTCCTCGTTTTCCGGCTTGATACCAAACTAACGCTTTCCAGGGGGACCGGTCTCTCCTCCAGCACCACCGCCGGGCCCTCTTCCGCCAGCGGAATAGGCAAGAAGTGCTACTCACCTGAGTCGCGACTGCGTGCGGGGCAGCAAGTGCTATAACTGTGGTGGGCTGGTGAGTCGGCCTCTCTTGGGTTGATGGGGTTTCGTGTGCGGGCAATAATGAGGATGCTGGGCATTTACACATCTGTATGTCGCACCTCCATATCTTGCGTGCCAGACAGCTAACTCGTCATTTTTGTCCCTATGCTGCTCGTCAAATGCATTACTGACTTCATATTCGTCCCCCGCAGGGCCACATCAGCCGCGACTGTGCGGAGCTGCAGAAGCGCGCCTGCTATACGTATGGAAGCGAGGGGTGCGTCTCCGTCGTCTCCTTTTAATTTCCTCCGGGGTGTGTTTCTGGTTGCTGTGCGGGGGCGTGTCGGACATACAGCAGATCTGGGACGCCGCCGCGCTCGCTCACCTCTCGCGCGCCCGTTTTGCGGTGCACGCAGGTCATCCGCACCTCTTCTTTCAATACACCGAATCTCGTCTTTGCCCTCTTTCGGCCAATCACATCTATGCTGACCACCTCTCTGTCAGACACATCTCGCGCGACTGCCCGGAGGCAGCCGTCGTCTAATCTCGTGGCCCGTCAAACTTTCAAGGTGTCAGCGTGTTCGTAAGCGGCGTAGAGAAACGTGGATTGGAATAAAGGATGTACAGTTATCGTATGCTTTGATCTCAAATTGACTGCTCTTCGTTTCTGGACGCGAGGATTTTACTCGCCGCTTCGCGATTACATTAACGTGTTCTCGACCTCTGATAGACGGCGCGGCAATTGGACCAAAATGACGTGGACTAATTGCGCTCCCTGATTTGAAAGTCACCTCTGTTCATCCTGAATTAGGTCGGCGCGATGAAGAAATGCTATTGGTTTCCAGCGGGTTGGGTGCCGATGTCGCCAGAGCGCGCGTTTCAAGCTCGATCCACTAGACAGAAATGAAATATGCCTCGCAAATGGGGAAATCTCGGGAACACATTGGATAACACAATCTTTGACAGCCTTCTGCAACGTCCGTTCCATTGTATTTCGCATGAAAGGGACGCTGGACGCGGACAGCTTCGTCGGCTGATTATACAGGCTCAGCCCTTCGACCCCTCACGTACTCTTTCATGCGCCGCTCCTGAACACGGCGATACGTCAAATCTTGAAGATGTCGATTCGCAAGAGGAGTTACCTTCCCCCGCGCGACCGAGCGCAGCTTCTTGGTGCGCGCTCAGGCATTCCGTTGCTTTACCCAGGCCTTTTGGGCGAACTCAGGGCGACGATCGAGATTGATGTGTTCCGCGCAATATTCCAATGTACGGTAGAGAGATTCCAATTAAGCTAAAATTTGACAATAAACAAACTACAGCCTCGTGCGCAGACGAATTGGCTTTCGAAGAAACGATGACCGCACCAGTCTGCATCGTAACTCGTAAGCAGCCTGGGTTTCAGCTAGCCTCATCCGGAGAAGAAGCAGGCGGATGAGTGTATTAAATCCCAGATGAGTTGAACCAGGGACACACCTGCTGCTTATCATTACTAACCCCAGGATGGTGTAACGGTAACACACCCGCTCGAATTACGATGAAGTTGGTGAGGTTTTAGCGGGAGATGCTTGTTCAATTCAAGGTCAGGACATTTATCTTTTGTTCTCCTTTTATTTTTATGGTACGTTGAAATTGATCATTCAGTACTCGACCGGCGATCGTTAAGAATGCCCTCCTGGCGTAACGTTAACAACGCGCGACTCGCACTCGACGTAAGACTCCACAAAGTCTTCGACAGGATATTATTATCATTTCTTCTCACCCAGAGTCCTGGAGGTTTACTCCTGTGCTTCAAGAACCCACACGAACTAATAAAAAATGCACTACAGGTACCAAGCAGGTACCCCTGAAATAATCAATCCAATCGCCGACTAGTGTCACGGATGACAAGTACATTACATATTGCTGCAGAGGCGGGATTCGGAGAATGACTCGCAAGGTGAACATCAAATAGCACGGTACCCAGGTAACAATGCAAGCGTAAATGCGGGCTCCGATTAGCCGACACCAAAGTCACTGCGATGGCCGTTTTGATTTACCCCGAGTAAAAGGAGCATGAAAAACCTATATCGGATCCTCTGAGTTTTCCCTGCGATTTTCCCCAGATAGAAAAATCGCCGGAAAAGTTGATTGTCTTTGCTCTGCTTTTCTACCGAATAAAAAGGAAATCGGAGCGCTTTTTCCTAGACTTTTTCCGTCCCTAAATGGAATCGTTCTCCCCGGGGAAAAATTCCGGCGGATTTTCCTTCGGGAACAATCCTCCCTCTTTATCCATGTAAAACATTGGGAAAACGTCATGTTTTCCTTCCTAAAGTCCCTGGGGTACAACGTATCCTCTTTCAACAAGAAAAATCTCCAGAAACATTCGTAATTTTACCCCAATTTTACCCTAGGAAAAATCAGCGCGCGCCGAGCGTCGTACTTGCCGCGCGCGCGAGCGCACTGTCACAGCGTACTCAGGGCCCACTCAGAGCGCATGCAGCGCGAACTTGGAGCGCACCCGGCGCGCATCTGTCCTCGGGGCGCACCCACCGAGCTCTGACACGTGCTTACTACTCCGGGTCGTCCCAACAATGTTGCTTCATCCGTCGTCAAAATACGTTCAGCATGTCATGCCAAAAAAAATGTCCTCATAGCGCGTCCCAGGCCCTTCGCGGGCGGAAAGTGACATCGTCGGGCTGCAGCAAGACCTCCACACTTCCACGCCTTCTCCGCCTCTGACCTCGCCTACTCTTTTGTTACTTCGTTTTGTGGTACAGCACGGTGGCTGGGGGGATACCACAGCCGCTGGTGGCTATGTACGAGTCGCAGGCGCACTTCGAGTATATTTTAATGTTACACGGCTATCCCGGCTTTCAGTGGAATCCGCTGGTTTGCAAAATCAGTGGATCTATTTTCGATTCCAGCGGTTTTTTCGGTGATGAGTTCGGGCTGTATACCAAGGGATAAGGAGGTCAGCTCTGCCTTTTTTTCATAATTTTTGAGCCCCAGCAGCGAGCTTGAAAAATATTTCGGCAATCACTTTCCAGTGGATTCCGATGGATTTGCAGATCAGCGGATTCCAGCATGCGTAGCATGGGCTGGCAGTTCCGTAGCAAAACCGTTTTTCCTGATGAACATCGACGCCCAATCATCTACAAGTACACACACACAAAAGGTTCCATATATACGGTTGGCTGGTGCAATGTGACATTTCAGGGAAGGCTGAACTAATATACAAAGAAAAGGGCAGTACGATGTGCAGATAATGAATTAAGGCCCACAAGCACAAGGGTTTCCAAAGCAGTCGCGAACCGTGACGGGACGGTATCCCTGGAGTAGGCCCTGATTAGTCCCGAATACATTGTAGAAAGCATGATAGCGCTTACGCAATCAACAGCGACACAGATGGCATTGCAATGAACAACGCCCCTGGCCTCCGCTTCAAGTGAACTGCCAGGCTGCTAATGTGTCAGTACACTGGAATCCTTTGTGAAATGCAGGATTATACCTCGCGCTTCAACATCTCTGTAGGAACGGCGGCAGCGACTGCGACGAAAAGCATGACCACGAGCTGGAAGGTATGAGGAGCGACATCGGCACAGGATTCGAGGCTACTTGCCTTGTTAGAGAACTTCATCTTGACTAGAGTGGGTAGGGTAAAGTCAATGTAGTCTCGGTGCCTGAAGTAGCCGCTTTTTATACCAGTTTGCCCCTCGTTAACGGATCATAACAGTCCCGTGTTACCAGGAACGCCTACATACTTAAGATCTCTGCCAGTGTTTCATACCAACTTGATTGATTACAGTGTTACATAATTTATCCCTTGAAGCCAGCAGTTAAAATAACTCAACAACCAAAATGTGCTCGGATAGTAGACTCTCGGTAAGCGCACTCACCAGTAAATCTTAAGCAGACGTCGCACCTAACCTAATGAAGAGGAAAGTGACCTACAATGGGGCGGGCTCGAGGATACCTGACAGACTGCGCAGCTGCGTTAAAGTTTGGCAGCTGTAGCAAATGTGACGCTGCGCAGTTTGCCGCGCTTGTGCGCTGTCCATTGAACGACTCACACCTGCCTCGCTCGGACGCCAGTGCCCAAATTACTACGAGGAAAAGGTACGTCTTGCTTAGGAAACTCACACTCAAGTGTGAATTTGAAGCAATCACCGAAACCCGCTCATGACTTACCAGTGAGCGCCTAGCCGGAGCCCAGCACATTCTGGTTTTCAATACAATTAATTGCTAGCTCCAAGGGTTAAATTGATATGAAATTTCGTGGTAATACTGTACATGTTGTCACCCGTCAGCACAAGAGGCTAGATGGTATAGAAAGGGGCTACTTCAGGAACACAGACTACAAGGCAGCTATTCTCGAATCCTGTGCTGGCGCCATTCCTTGTACCTCGTCTCTGTTAGCGTTCGGGATTTCGATGCGCGCGGTGAGGCGTGGCTAGATTCGGGAAGGTCCGGGGATGGCGCGGATCAGGTAGTCTCCCATAGATAGACGCTTCAACAAAATGAAGCTCGTACCTCGCTTGTTGAAATCAGGCGCGTGGGACCTACTAGTAGTACATCAGCAAAATAGAAAAATAGAACTCGTCTGACGTGTTTGGCATCAGATCCACTAGACGCGCCATCATGCCAGAAAATGATCTCTCATCTGTACCCTGTTCCGCATGACAGTGTTCATGAATCCATGAGGGCATTTATTAGTCATTTTCCTACGGTTACCGTTAATGCCACCATAATGACACTTCGGGCAATGGCTAATACATTCCTAGGGATTGGAGTAAGCACGCGAACAAGTGGTGGATCAACGAAAAAAAAATCGTGCGAGCAGGACACTTGAGTCATGCGAGATCACTTGAAATATCCTAAACGAGCCTAAACGTTGCACAAGATTAGCAGGGTCCTTGATTGGTAAATTATAAGACAGCCTTCGTGCTCTGCTGGGGCTCTGATTCTTTTCTTGGGAATCAGTTTCGAGAGTCCGAAAGAGACGTATAAGTCACTGTAAAATCGCAAGGCCTTCCTCGTCGTTACAATTCCACGTGTTGCAAGGTAACGTACACGAACTGGTCGTACGCCGTGCTGGTCCCGACTAAATATCGCGGATAAAAATGTAGGATAACGTACCTGGAGTTCGGCCCTTTTCTTGCAAAACAGGGGTAAAAGCTTCATCCGGCGGATCCAGCTAGGTTCGCTATCCGAATCCCAATTGCGCCGGAACCAAGAAAAGAAAATTCCTCCACGTTCACGGTGACGTGCCCGCGACGGGTGCCTATCTGCCAGAGATCTGTATCAGCCAGGGCAGGTCCTATTCTCTGTTTGGCCGGCTGTACTCCGGCCGTTCAATTCACTGCGAAGAGCCAAATTGGATGCGCAGAACACGCTGTACAGCGGGAAGGGCGGTGGGACTGATCCTATCTGGGCACGTATCAGGCGCCCCCAAAACCCAGTGGACGGGATAGGAGGACGTATGTGCGACGGCTCATTGATCCATATCAAGATTTGGGTTCTCGCCAACCATCCAGTCCAGCCTGGTGCAAATCCTCCGTGAGAGTCGGAATGTGCGGCCTATTGGACGGCCGTCGGGCATGTTGCGACAGCATCCTCGCTACGATATATTTTGAGGATACGAAGAATACATCTCCGAGGCTGCCATCGTGATTACGCCTTGCCGCCGCAACGAAGGCAGTCGCTGCTAATTGAACGTGAGCCGAACCCCTCCAACTCTCGGAATCTTCCTGGCCTGGTATATAAATTCCACGGTTCCGTGGAATATGGAGTGCTGCAGGTGGAATGCAATGAACCAGTAGCGCCTGCTCATAGCGCCCGACTGGCAGCTATATGTCGAATGTCAGCCACGAGAATGGAAGAGGTCGAAGTATAAAGATCATCACAGATACGTTGAGGCCGTCATCATCGTCGACGTCGGACAGCTTACGGAGCCGAGAAGTGGATTTTGTCGAGCGAGGATGCTAATTGAAAAACTGGAATTACAAAGGCTTCTTTCCGGACTGGGACTGGAGCCTGTCGTGGTGGCTGGTTGGTATGAAGCAGATAGCAGAATTTAATGCTTGCCAGAAAGAGCTGGAAGTAGCCTGGGTATGTATTTGCGATTCTAAATCTGCGTTTCGAATCGCAGAACACATTGATGGGAGCCGCGCTCTGTTCGCGCCGAGTAAAGACCAGACGCGCCACGAAAGTCCTTGGCCCGTAGAGGGAATTCGGATGAGGCGGGACGCGGATGAGACTGGTCAAGCACACCGGTTCCGGTGATTTGGACAGCGAGCCAGGAACGTAAATTCGAATTCGAATTCGAATTCCGCGCAGTTGAGCAACAATCACGCCCTGAGATGGGAGAGCGGTTGCCGACGTGCGTTGAACATGCAGTTGGTACAGTGATTATCATAAGAGGGTGGGATCGTAGGGAAGGTGTTAGATGTGGACGACCACAGTCGACGGAATAGTCCTAGTGAGAAGTGCGAGTTGCGATTAGGATGGTCGAGCGGCGTTTGAATCCCATCAAAGTTTCCGCTGCCTTCAGCTCGATCAATATCAGAAATGTAGAAGAGGCATACAGTTCAGTCTTTTGCGGTGGCAACT